TTAAATAAATAAATATTTTTTTAAAGATGAGTTTGAAAGAATTTCCTTTTCAACTTCTTGAAAACAGTATGTTTGGTAAAATTCAGCAATAAAGCCACCAGGTCCTGGGATTTCTTTAGAGAGAGACTTCACTACTGTTTCAATCTTCTTACTCATTATTCGTCTGTTCAGATTTTTTATTTCCTCCTATCTTGATAAGAATTATGTATCTGGGAACTTTTCCATTTCTTCTAGGTTACTGAATTTGTTGGTGTATAATTGTTAATAGTAGTTTCATGGTCCTAGTCTGTGGTATCACTTCCTTTTTTTTTTTTTTGGAGAGATTTTCACTGTAGGGCACGTGCGCTCACCAGACAGACAGAGAGAGACATAGAGACAGAAAGCGAGAAATCACCCCCCAGGGGGGATGGTCACGCCGCAATCCCTTCTTCTCCATTCTCCTCTCGGGATCTTGGGCACGCATGCACACGCACCCGGCGTGAGTTTTAAGCCACCGGGTCCGGGACATGAACCGCGGTCGACTACGTGGGAGTCCAGCAACATAGCCATTAGACTAACTGCTGGTTCCCTGTGGTATCACTTCTAAAATGGCTGTGCTTTTGTTCTGATTTTGAGTCCATTTGTCTATTTTCTTAGTCTAGTTATAGGTTTGTCAATGTATCTTTTCAAAACACTAGCTCGTAAGTTTGGCTAATCTTTTTTATTTTTTCTAATCTTTATTCCTGCTCTCTGGTCTTTATTATTTCCTTCCATCCACTAACCTTGACTTTTTTTTTCTAGTTCCTTGAAGTGTGGCATTATGATGTTTCTTTGATATAGTTCTTCTCTTTTGATGTATACATTTGTTGCTATAAAGTCTAAGTTTGGTTTTATGTTGTGTTTCCATTTTTGTTTAGGATCTTCATTTATTGTTGTTATTATTATTTTTTTAGGTTTTTGCCATAGGGCACAGGCACTCACCAGAGAGAGACACAGACACTTACAGAGAGCAGGGAAGTGAGAAATCACCCCCTACGGGGATAGCCATGTTGCAATCCCTTCTCCATTCTCCTGACAGACCACAGGCAGGCACACGCATGGCTTGAGTCTCAAGTCACTAGGTCTGGGACTCTAACTGCAGTCAGTCGTGTAAAGTCCAGCACCTTAACCACCAGGCCACCTGCTGGCCCTATTTAGGATCTTTTTAATCTCTTTGACCCACAAATTATCCAGAGGCATTTTGTTTTAATTTCTGCATGTTCATCAATTTCTCTAAATTCCTCCTCCAATTACTGATCCCCAGTTTCATACTACTGATAACAACTATGATTTCAATCTTCTTGGAGTTGTTAGAAGAGTTCTCCTGTTGCCTAATACGTAATGTACTTTGGGGAACGATGCATGGATTTAAGAACATGTACCCCGTCATTGCTGAATGGAGTGTTCTGTACGTGTCTGGTTAGATAAATTTGGACTAAGTATATTTTACACCTGATATTTCTGTAGTGATTTTATTTCTCGATGGTATGTCCACTATTGAAAACAGGGTACTGAAGCCTCTTACTACTACTGCATTATGGTTTAATCTCCCCCCGCAGACCTATTAGTATTTCCTATATATTTAGGTACTCTGATGTTGAGTACAGGTATATTTTTAACTGTTGTATCCTCTTGGTGAACTGATCTCCTTCAGCATTTACTGTGGTTTCTTTGTCTCTTTTTTTACAGTGTTTTGTTAAAGTCTACTTTATCTAAGTGGAATTAACCCTATTTCCAGTTGGCTTCCATTTGTACAGACTATCTTTTTCAATTCTTTCGCTTTCAGTATGTCCTTAGAGGTGAAGTGAAACTCTTATAGCAACATATAATTGGTCTTATTATTCAGTCACATTATGTGTTTTGATTGGGGAACTTAATCCACTTATGTTTAAGATTAATTACTGGCAGATAAGAACTTATTGCCTCGTTCTGTTAGCTATCTTGTGGTTGTTTGGTAGATGTTTTCTCTTCTTCCTCTTTTGCTGTCTTCTTTTGAAACTAGATAAATTTTCTAATGGTATTAATTTAATGCCTTCCTTATTTTCTTTTGTGTATCTATCATACGTTTTTGCTTTGTGGTTACCATGAGGCTTACATAAAACACCTTAAACTGATAGCTTTAACAGGCTATTTAATTATTGCACTAAAAAAGAAAAAGGTCAACACTCTTTACCTGCTCCCCATAGTTTTGATGTCACAATTTACCATCGTTTTATACTGTACTTTTCTTATCAAATTACATTAGGTATTATTCCAAATAATTATGTCTTTTACAGAAGATACATAAATACATACAGCTATTAAGAGTATTCTGAATTTAACCATGTACTTATTTTCACAGTAAAATATGTTTATATGTTTTCATACAAAACTAATTAGCATTCTTTTCTTTCAGCTTAAAAAACTCTGTAGTATTTCTTGTAAGATAGGCTAGTGGTGGTGACAAACTCCTTTTTTCATTTTCCTGGGGAAGTCTTTTTCCGTTATTTCTGAAGGGCAGCTTTCTCAGGTAAAGTATTCTTGATTGGCTTTATTTTCCTTCAGGACATTGAATGTGCCATCCCATTCACTCCAAGTCTATAAGATTTCTGAGTAGTCTTATTAGAAATCCCTCATATGTGATACGCTTCTATTCTCAGGATATTCTATTCTCTTTATCTTTTATTTGTGGTTTGATTGTGTCTTAATGTCAGAATAGGTCAGATTTTGGTCTGACTGGAAACTTTTTACCTTAGTATACCTGGGTATATTTTCACATAATTTCTTTAAATAAGCTTTCTGTTCATCTTTAATTTCTTCTTGAACTCCTGTAACTTGAATAACTGTTCTTTTGATGCTGTTCCTTAAATCTTACAAGAATTTTCTTTTTTTTTTTTTTACAACTTCTTGTTTACTTTGAAATAACCAATCACCTGTCTTCAAATTCAGATTCTTTATTCTGCTTAATTTTGCTGCTGAAATTTTTTTGTATTCTTCATTTCATTCAATATATATTTCAGATTCAGAAATCTATTTTTAACATAATTTCAATCTCTGTTAAATCACTGGTTGTTTTTCTGATTACACTGAACTGTTTCTATTGTCTTGAAATTAACTAAGCTTCCTTTATAACATTTACTCTGAATTCTTTGTCAGGCAGTTCACCAATCTCCTTTTCCTTAGGGTTCCCCCCACCCTTTGCTGGTATCAGGTTTCTATGATTGTGCTTGATCTTTGTGCTCTACACATTTTAAAGAAGTATAGACTTATTGCAATCTTGGCAGACTGGCTTTCCATGGGAAGGTGCTCTACCTGTCAGCTTGTCTGTAGATTCTGGGCCAGCTGTCCGGCATGCTTCCAAGGGTGAGCTTGCTTCTGAAGTCCTCAAGTAGGCTGGCCTGCTGCCTATGCATGGATCCACTGGGGTAGGCTGTTGATTGGATCTGAGAGGGAGAATGGGTCTGAATCCAGAGGGGCTGACCTGAAGCCCCAATACGCAGGTGCCAACCTGGCACTGGGGTTTTCTAGGGTAGGCCTGGATTCTGAAGCCTCTGGAGCCTGATGAATTAGACCAAAAAGACCACCTTAAAGGCTGGGTGTGTAGGTCCTGGCCTGGAGTCTGTCTATGAAAACTGGCCTGGTCCATGAGAATTGGTCCTGAGAGAGGGTGACCAAAAAGTTGAGAACACAGAATGATCCAGGAGCCTGGGTCAGATGAGACTGGCTCAGCGCTGTGATCTACTAGGAACAGCCTGAACCCTGCACATGCTGGAGCAGGACTCCCTAGACCCTGAGTATGTTTAGAGCATGAGGCCACAGGGAAAACTTTATGCTGAATTCCTCTATTGTTGCCCACCTAGTCACGGCTCATACTGATTAGATTACTGAAGCCCTGCTCATCCGACCCTGTATTTTCTCTTCCCTTTGCCTCCCTGCTGCCAGTTATTAAAATACACACTCAACAGGGTTACCACCCTGGGAGCAATTTCCTTACTGATTCCCAAATACCTAAGGCATAAAAACCAAGACCTTTAACAGAGCGTGCAAGGTCTTAGTCCTTTCTATCAAATTTTATCTCCTTCGTTCCTCTGCTTTCCAGTTGGCCTGTGATCTGAAAGTCCTCAGCTGCCTACTGGTTCCTATAATCCCTGTGCTGCTTCTGCACTTTGCTCACGCTTCCACCTAGAAGAACTCTGCTCGCATTTCTAGCTGACTAACTCCGAGTCACAGGATTTACCTTGGCCTTCCCTGTTCACCACGATTTCTCTGCCACGTGGACTGGGTTCCTAGTGCACACCTGGATACCCTGTTAGTCATTTACATTCCCACTGCCTCCTGGGTACTATTCTATCTCAATCATTGAAATGATATGCTTCTGTATCTTTTCTTCTGGGTATACTGTAAATTTCTGCAGAGTAGGAACTAATTTTTATGCATCTTTGTATTTATAACATAATAACATAAAAAAATAGACTGTTTAACTCTATTCTTTTCCCAATGTTCCTATTTCCCCACAACTTCTTAAAAAAAAAAAAAAAAAAACAATATTCCAGGGAGCATGCAATTATCCATTAAGTAGTAGAAATCTAGTAACTTGTTATCAAGGTTTAAAAGTACTTGGTAAGGGAAAAAGTAGAAATGATCCTATCTCCTAATTTACTTTTAACTCATTACTTTAAAAAAAAAAAAAAAAATATGATTATCATTTAAAATAGCACAGGGCAACATGAAGGACACCAGTTCCTATTTCCCCACAACTTCTTAAAAAAAAAAAAAAAAAAAACAATATTCCAGGAGCATGCAATTATCCATTAAGTAGTAGAAATCTAGTAACTTGTTATCAAGGTTTAAAAGTACTTGGTAAGGGAAAAAGTAGAAATGATCCTATCTCCTAATTTACTTTTAACTCATTACTTTAAAAAAAAAAAAAAAACTATGATTATCATTTAAAATAGCACAGGGCAACATGAAGGACACCAGAGCCTCAACCAAGTTACACTTACATTCGGCTAGCTTCAATGTCGTCAGACTGAGGTTCTCCTGGTGATCTGTAAAATGCAATTGAGAAAGTGTTAGAAAAATACTCCGTATTCCAAAAACAGGTAGACATGTTACTTGGGAAAACAAATTTGCAAAGAAGATTTAAGCACTAAATAAAAGCTTTAAAAATAACGAAAGATTTTGACATAAAAAAAGTGATCAGATCAGATTGCCATATAACATTTAAGGGCTAGATTAATAAAAAACTAAAGGCATTTTTTTTTTAAGAAGAAGAAAGTAAAACACTATACTTAGATACTTAGAAAACAGACCATAAGCCATAATTACTCACAAAGTCAAATATTTATAATAGAAGCACAGAACCATGAAACTTTCTATAGCCAAATATTGGTTGCCCACATTAACTCACTGGTATTCAGTCTCAACCCTTACACCACCAAGCTGGCAAGCTGCTGCCCAGGCCAGCTGCCTGCTTTTTGTAAAAGGGGTTTTTTTTGGTTTGTTTTTAAAATTTTGGAATGCAGCCAGACTCATTCATTTAGTTAGCATCTATGGCTACTTTCACACTAAAAGACCAGGTATGAGTACCTATGGCAATGACCATATGGCCCACAATTCCTAATATATTTATTATCTTGTACAAAAGACACACACACACACACACGTATCAACCTCTACTCTGGATAATTCCAACTAAAATCTAATAGCCTTAGTGAGTTTCCTTTTCTTTTCCTTTCCTTTTTTTTTTTAATTTGCTGTAGAATGCATGCACACTCACTGGAGCGAGGGAGAGAAAGTGAGGAAGCACCCCTCCTGGGTGACAGTCACAATGCAATCTCTTCCCCCTCTTCTCGTTCCTTTCACGACTCTGCACATGCGCACACATGCACCCAGCGTGTCTTTCAGGCTGCCAGGTCAGGGACTCAAACCATACAGTCAGCCACGTAAGTAAGATCTAGCCACCCTAATAATCGTGCCACTGGCTGGCCTGCCTTGATGAACTGTGGGACACTTAAGTGAAACGTACCATTCTGATCAAGAGTATCTTGGTTTAACAATGAAATTCCTGAAAATACACTGTCAGGATACTATCTGCCAAGAGTGTATAATCAAGGATACTAAAATTTTGTTCTGGGTTAACTGTAAATTAACTTCAGGTTTAAATAGTTGCCAGTTATTTTCAGTTCTTTCTGAATATACTGCTGTTACTTTATGTAAAAGACACTAAGAAGTCTTTCATTTTCATTTTGGGAGACGTGACCAATTCCTCTACACCTACACCACATTATCAAAACCAGTAATTCCTTTGTTTACAGACAGCATCAATTAGTGTGTAATAGTCGATATTTTAAGGTAAAACTAATACTGATTCTGAACAATTTCAAATTCCCAAGATAGGTAAATTATTTTTTGAGATCAAAGACTAAATTTTCAAACTAACATTACACAGTCATTTGTAAATTTATCAACAACTTTAGACTTCCAACTTTAAACTGTATTAACAAAAGAATCTTTTTCAGAGTTATCAGGGAAAAAAATCTGTTTCCTAAATTTCTTAGCATTAAAATAAATTCATGTCTTTATCCCTTTCAAAATTATTCTCACTATCTAGTTCATTTAGATTCCAAAAACAAGAATGCCAAAAAAAAAAAGAAAAAGGAAAGTAAAAAGGGAAAAAAAAAAAGACTCCAGCAGCTCAAATATTTATTTTAGATCTTCTTTGCTGTACATTTAAATATTTAATTTTACACAAAATTATATAAGAACTAAAAATTGGGGCATGCTGGAGGTGGCAGTGACTTGGCAGTGACACAAATGCAAATTTCTTAGCATTAAAATAAATTCATGTCTTTATCCCTTTCAAAATTATTCTCACTATCTAGTTCATTTAGATTCCAAAAACAAGAATGCCAAAAAAAAAAAAAGAAAAAGGAAAGTAAAAAGGGAAAAAAAAAAGACTCCAGCAGCTCAAATATTTATTTTAGATCTTCTTTGCTGTACATTTAAATATTTAATTTTACACAAAATTATATAAGAACTAAAAATTGGGGCATGCTGGAGGTGGCAGTGACTTGGCAGTGACACAAATGCAAAAATTTCACTCCACCCTCTCCCCCAGGGAGCAAGCAAATCACCTCTGACACACCTGGTCTCCACCAGCCTGTGGGCAAGTACCCCAAGATTGCTTCCAAACTTGTATCTCCCAGACAGAAGAGCTAAAAACTGCGGACAACCCCATGTACCAGCTGACTCATTTTTGAAAGTGCGACCCTCCAGCATCAGATGTCATACTGTAAGGAGGCAAGGAGGCAGCGCTGGCTTGCAAAACAAAAAATAAACCTGCTGGCACTGAGGGAAGAGAGGCAGATTAGAAGCTTTCAAACACATAGGCGGTAAAACTTTCAAAATTAACAGGGAAAGAAAAAGAGAGAGGATAAAAAAAATGAGGACATGATGACAGGAAAATAAAAATATTACTACAAAAAGGTAAGACATAAGCAAGAAGGAAAACAAATCCAAGTTTCAGAAGTACAATATGTAGCTCCTGCAAACTTTTGAAATCCTGAAATGGCATAGAGATTAAATACATTATCCAATAACTACATCTATTTTCCCAAATTCTGTTCCCTAAAGAAAATAGGTGACCTTTAGCATCAGAGTATCGCATTGTTTTAAATACGCTCTATTAGTACTTAATATTTACCTATATGAAAGTGAACTATTGAAACCACTTATAAGTCAAGTCAAATAACAGAAGCCAATATAGTCTAGGACAATGGAAGGAAGGATTGAAAAGTCACTACCCAACACAGATCTCTCATGGGGCTTAGACACAGCACAGATTGCTTTCTATTCAAACTGGAAATAGCTTTTCAATCAAGAGAAATGTGAATAAACACAGAACTAGCAGAAACAGTGAATATTAGTAGTGCATATCTATATGGACTTCCAGTTATCTTGCTGATAGTATATTTCTGTAATATTCTAAATAAGTTACCAAAAAATCCTAAAGAGACAAAGTCTCAAACCCATAAAATATGGAAGATAGAGCACTAGTCCCAGACTTTCATTTTGGATCCTAAGTATCCTTTTTGTTCTTTACTTCCAGGGTGACAAAAGAAAGAATATTGTGTGTGCCTGTAATTTTATCAAATTCAGAATATATAAGCAAAATGAATTTTTAAAAAAACTTAGTTTACCATGAAGTTTATCAAAACAAATCAGAAAGGAAACTGAACAATTGAAACAATAACCAAGTAACATTAGAAACAAATCTTGGAAAAGTCTCGATCTTGGGTCTTGATGTGGACAGGAGAAAGTACAGTCACTGATCTGAACACTGCAGCATGAGCGAGCTAATTCAAATGGTGGCTCACTTCCAGTAATACTGGGTGCAGCTTCTCCACTCTGCAAGCCACTCCAGTTACCTTCACTGTAACTCTCTAGGAGAGGAAAGTACACTAGTTTTATTAGTTATAAAAATTTCTAGAGAAGTATTTAGCTAAAACGATCACCATCTAAAGGCACATTTTAAAATGCAGATTGAGAAAACTTTTCAATAATGCTTATAATAAAATGTGTATTTAAAAACCTGATTTTTTGAGAAATAGTTTATTACAAATATACCTTTGGTGATGACGGCCATTGATATTCTGAATGGGAAAATTAGAAGGACTGTAATTTTAGGAAGGAGATTAAAAGCAGAAGTAGGTCAACTCTTAAGTCCACTATCCTCAGCAGTATTACTGCCAACTACATTTTCTTCATCGTTACACATGTATTTCACTTTACAATGACAGCCTTTTAAAGGCTGTAAAATAACATTCAAAATTACCTTTTACAAGCTGTGGCCATTCGGTGACATCAGGGTGATCACAGCTTTGAGTCACTGATTAAAAACAGGCAGTCACACCAGTCTAGCTGCTAACTTGATCTGAGCGTAGGCTTAATAACTCTAATAAATTAAACAAACCTTCAGTTAGAACATTTTAATATATAAACTCAATTCATTGTTCAAAAAATAATTTTCAAAGCTTCAAATTAAGTGTCAGTGCAAAATTCATTAGAAGAATTATTACAGAAAAGCTTTTAAGGACTGTTTTCTAGCAGGTATTTTTTCTTTTTTTCCTTAAATGACCTCTCTTGAGAAAATGTGGCTAGTAATCCCTTACATCTGATGCAGTGTCACAGTTGACAAGCATTGTCAACAGTATTTTCAGTTTCACAATTTGGCGCTTCTCTAATCAAGACTGATAGGGAAGCAAGAATTAACAAGAACTTTTTAAAAAGAAAAGAAAAAGAAAAAAGAAATGAAGCAACCTCAGAGTGATTAATTGACTTGCCCAAGATTCCAGAGTTAGTACTGAAGCTAGGACTAAAACCCAGACCTACCGAGTTCCTATCCAGGGCTATTTTTCGTTTTGTTTTGCTATACAGTTCCATGATTTCAATGCATGTAAATGAGCAAAGACTTAGAACATGGATTGAAACCTCACAACTGTATGGCAACAGTTTGAACAGGACTACTTTAGTCAAAGGATTCTTTTGAGAAATCACCCCTCCAGGGATGATGGCCACACCGCAATTCCTCCACCTGGCAGTGAGTTTTAAGCCGTCGGTTTGGGACTCAAACTGCAGTTGACTATATGGGAGTCCAGCATTTAAACCATTACACCATCTGCTGGCCCCAAAGGATTCTTAAACTGATGAAAAAAATCAGTCACTAGGTAGGAAATGCTTAATGCAATAATTATATGCATATATACACACACACACATACACACCAAAATCTGAGAGAGACTTGTTTTGTAATTAAGTAGAGTCAAAACTCTCTGGGTACTGCACGAAGATGTGTCCCATTTTCTCAGCCACTAAGATTCAATTTTATGAAAGAATATGGTAAAATGTAAGAAGCATATCTTCTTCCTTCAATTAATCCTTCCACATGGTCTTAGATCAACTTTCCTGATTATCACAGTTCAAATTTAGCAGGCTTCCTTTAATCTTACGGTAGCCCTGAAAAAGGTATCATGCACCTGAAATACCCCATTGTCAAGACATCATTTCATGCAACCAGTTTCCCCTGCCATACTATGTTTCCAGACCAAATCTGAGAAGTGAAAGAAGATGAGAATGTCAGGAGGGAGAAAACGCTTCATAGGTCACACCCTCAAGCTACCTATAGACAAGAACAAAAGGTGGGTTAGCAGCGAGGCTGCAGAACTTGCTATGGAGCACTAGGTACGGAGAGCCCCAGGGGAAGGGTTGAAAACACCACCGCTTGAACGATCCCCCTCCAACCATGAATGCAGGAACCCAGAGGGGGATGAGGAATGGCCTGGACATATGTAAGTAATTTTGAGAGATTCCAATAAATGGGACTTATAACTTGTATAATCACCCCATTTCCCAGATTTTCCTATCATAATTTTATGTTTCCTAATAAGAAAATAGCTACAGCCGCGTTCGTCTGGGGAAGACAGCATCACCCTGCAATGAAAGGAGGTCCTGATGTAGTTCCCCCTTGGATTTGCTTCAGATTAAGGGTTTTAGTGGACTCAGAAGACCCAAACAAGTCTAACTTCCCAACTTGTAAACACAAAAATGGTAAGGTTAAAATACCTTTTACTTGACTTACTGAGATCAATTAATGAAGAGCTACATGAATTTGGGAAATTACTGAGTCAAGGTCTGTAGCAGCTCCCTCCTTTATGAGGTCCAGTACTAAACCAAAGTCAGCTGGATACATCTCACTGTTCGGTCACTCACTAGCTGGGAAATCTTGGGCAAGTTATTTAACCTTTCTGAGCACCAGTTTTCTCACAGATAAGACTAAGATACTAATAGTAGCTATTTCACAGGGTTATCATGAGAATCAATGAGCTAACATGTAATAGCACGAAACCAGTGCTGGGCATATAACGAGCTCACAGATGTAAGTAGTTATTAATACTCATAGCCTAACACCTAAAACCAGCCCCCTTAACCTTCTTATGCATATTATATTTTTTTCACAGAGCACTCGTCTCTTGAAAACTCTTTTGGCACCCCACTTGGGTCTCTCATATAGTCTATCTGGATTCAAAGTTACTTAGCATTTAGTACAATGCTTTAAAAATGTCAAGTGCCCAAATGTACTGAATATATTTGTCATTCTAACCATGACATAAAGATATACATGCAATATGAATTACAAAAAAATAAAACAAAAACATACCATATTCGCCAAACTTCTGATGAGCTGGTGAATTCTAAAATCAGGCTCTTAGAGATTTTTAACCTAAAATATAAAACACCTCACTCAATTCTTTTTATATGGACAACTGAATAAACTTAAATTTTTTACTAAAACTCATTATAAAATGAAAGTGATTCGTTTCTGTAATATTTATGAACACCTAAAAACATATGAAGAGGCAATTACCCTGGTGCTACTCCCAGGATGAGTGGACAGGTGGTTAGGTGGGCCCTATGGCCTGAGAGCTTCCAGCCGGCAAAGGCATGCTCCCCCATTTCATCTGCAAAGCTGAGGGTTACGATTTCTTTACCCTTGCTCCAAAAGGGCTAAGAATACATAAACACTGTTCTATTACACAGTTCTGATCCTGAGAGCTTTCAGCTGGCAAAGGCATGCTTCCCCATTTCATCTACAAAGCTGAGGGTTAGCGATTTCTTTACCCTTGCTCCAAAAGGGCTAAGAATACATAAACACTGTTCTATTACACAGTTCTGATCCCTTCCAATACTTGCACTGCGGCAATCTGGCTCCGAACGAAACGCTGTGTAGTCAGAACCTGTCGCGTCAGGCACAGAGAAGGCGCTTACTGCTACCTCCTAGAGCAGCGGCCTTGGACAAGTCCTTTGACCTGAATATCAAAAGTCACGCTGTTCTAAGAATAGCTTGAGAATCCTTTACCAAAATGCTTAAGACCAGAAGTGTTTCAGATTTTGGATTTTTAAAAATTGTTGAAATATTTGCATATACATAATGAGATATCTTGAAGTTAAGAAAATAGTTTAATCATATCATTAATTTACGTTTTATACATGCCTCATAAAAAGGAACTTCAAAACACTGATGGAAAAAAGCAATGAGAAAATAATAAAAATAACTTTAGCTCTCAACATAAGCTCCATCAAGTTCAAAACACTTTTCGAAGTGATGATAATCTCCTCTATTTCTAAAAAACTAAGGGTCCTGGGAATTTAGCCATATCAATATAGGTTTTTTTTTCTTATTAAAAAACAAAAAACCAAACAACTGTCCATTAAAGATCTTAAGGGGAAAAAAAGGTCAGAAGGGAAACTCCCCAAACTGCGATGAGCACTGGCACAGCAGCTACATCACCGGATTCCCATATGGCCAACTATGGGTTTGAGCTCCAGAACCGCAGCTTGAAAATCACACTGGGCATGTGTGCGTGTGTGCCCAAGATCCCAGGCTGAGAAAGGATGAGACAGGAATGTGTTGTGGCCATCTCCCCCAGGGGTGATTTCTCACTTTTCCTGTCTTTCATTAAAAAAAAAAAAAAAAAAAAAATTTTTCTTTCTTTCTTTCCCTCTCTTCCTCCCTTTATACTTGACCAGAGAGGGACACAAAGAGAGCAAGCAAGTGAAAGAGAAAGTGAGAAAGCAAACCACCAGGTCCAGAACTCAAACCTCAGTCAGCCATGTGGATGGACTGCGCCCTTAAACACCATGCCACCTGCAGGCCCCAATGAGTGCATGCACCCTACGGCAAAACCCTCTTTTAAAAACAAACAACAATTGCAATGAGATGCAAGCAGGAGCATCACCACACAGAAAACGACTTTTTGGTAAAGCTGTCCTAGTTTTAGCTACAGCTGTGGTAACACTCCCCAAACACTCTCACAAAAAGTCCTTCCAGAAAGTCAACAAGCAAAGTGCCTTCAGCATCCCAAAAGCCTGTTCCCAAGACCTCTCCTCCTGAGTGGTCTGCTTCTGCTTTGACTGGGCCACCTCCACCTCCTGAGAGCCATGGCTTTGTACTCTGCCTTCAGGGCCTTACTGGTAAAGCCACCTGTCGTTCCCTGTTGCAATTGTTCAAAGAAATGCTCCAGGTTATCGATCTTCTCTGTTAAAATTTCCATGAAAACCTGCTCTTGCCAGCAGGTGGGTACAAAGGTTGAACTGGCTGGACCCCCCACCTCCCTACATGGCTGAATGCACAGTGCGAGTCCCAGACTCAGCAGCTTCCCAGACTCAGCAGCCTGAAAAACACAATGGGCACTGGGATCAGCACTTTGCGTAATGGCTATGTCGCTGGACTCCCACGTAGTTGACCACAGTTCGCAGCCCGGACCCGATGGCTTAGAACTCAGGCTGGGCGCGTGTGCATGTGTGCCCAAGATCCTGAAAGGAGAATGGAGGAGAAGGGATTGTGGCGTGGCCATACCCCCTGGGGGGTGATTTCTCGCTTTCTGTCTCTCTGTCTCTCTCTGTCTGTCTGGCGAGCGCACGCGCCCAAAAGCAAAAAAAACTCTCAAAAAAAAAAGAAAAAAAAACATGATGGGCGCATGTGTGCAGGCACACAAAATCCCTGGAGAACAATGGAGAAGGGATGGCAGTGTAGCCATCTCCCCTGTGGGGGGTGGGGTGGGAGGTGGGGTAGGGGAGGGGGAGGAGGGCACTTTCTCTCTCTCTCCAGCAAGCACACACACCCTAAAACATTAAACCTCTGCTGGTCTCTACAGCTGATTAGCTTTCAACAGTTCTCGCCAGCCACCATCGAGTCTGCTCAACTTTGAACTGTCATCAGAATTGCATAAGCTGAACTTGAACCACCTGAGATGTCTATTCGCTGTTTCCCCCCTTAGAATTACTTTATTTAGCTTTTACAAAATCCTTTCTTTTTAAAAATATTTATTCCATTATTGTACATCTCTATAGCTACTGTATTATTAACCATTGGTCAGCTTCAATTAGATTACAAGCAAGATTAACTTTTTCTTAGAAACTATAGTGAATGATCTGCTGCTTGTCAAAGGCATCTTCAACATCCCGCACCTTCGTAAAAGCAGTTGTCAATGTGCAAACTGCTTATTTCTTTGGGAGCACCGTCCCCAAAACTTCTCGTAAAGCATCAATGAGTTCATCCATTCTCCCACCCACTGATTCACCATAAATGTGATAGTCTTGTGTCAATAGAAGAATCCATATTGTTCTGACAGGTGTCCCAATTTGTGAAGCTGTGCCTTCCTAATTATGGAGTAGCAACATACAGTCATAGAGGAAATACACCAACCCTGTAAGTATCAAGGCTATGTAAGAAACTCTAAGTACGAGAATTTAACAATTAGAACCCTAACATCAGACACAGTGACCACAGTTACATCTCTCTCACCAACAGAGGGCTCAATCTAAGAACCAAATCATCAATGTAACACAGTGATAGCTGTATCAACATACACCCTCTCCCCCTCTGAAATTTTCATTTGTTTGCCATCAACCCTCTCTCCACGCACGCACGCACTGTTATTAATGTAATGTTATGAATGTGCCCTTCATCCTCTGTCCCACAGCCTGCTGCCTTCACACCTTCTCAATCTACGTCAAAATTCCATTTCATTAACTTCCTTTTCCACCACTTGTTACTGTGACACCCATAAGTCATCATCATCCCTAAACATTCCAAACCTTGTGGCCTCTCAATGCGACATTTCTATAGCAGCTCACACTACCTGGCTTCCCTAACTCTGTACTGACCGGCGTTCCTCCATCTCGCTAACTGCAAGTCAGTCTTCTGCTGCTTCACCTTCTCATTCCTCACCCATGGCCACTTTCCAGTTTGTCACTAGCCACTTTTCTTAACCTAAATTAGTTCTGTGAGCAATGCTGATCCCTTCCCATAGGTAGCATCTCTGTACGTAAGACCCCTAATTCTACATCTGCGAGTCCTTGCTCTCTGAAGTTTTAAGCCTGGGACTCCCAACTGCCAATGGTACACACCTATCTGAGCATCTCACTAGCATCTACGCAAAATGTATCTAAACTCAAACTCAATTTTCCGAGAACTTACTCCACCCTGTTCTACGTGTAATTTCACCGTCCTCCTAACTGTGGACTGAAAAGGCTGGTACCATTCCCTCTCGTCTCTGTTCCTTGATAGCGCCCGCACACGTGTGTGAGGGGAAGAAGGGAGACGGGGAGGACCGTGGCGAGGGAGGACAGGAGGAAGGGAAAGATAAGACTCACAACAGGGCTCACCAC